CATGTATTGGTAATTGATACGATACAGTGAGTTGGCGTAGTCGATGGCGTGACTTCCACGTAAGATCTTATAGATTAGGCAGTTATATCATGACGAATCTACAAATTTAGGATTAGGTCTATTATTAGAGCAGTACTAATATCATAGTAGACCATAGTTCTACAAACCTCTTCCATGCGTTCAAGAGCATAAGGACTTAAGAGTAATATTAAGTCATGACTTAAAAACAACTGCGCATTGCAAAGCAGCCGCTGTCAAAGGTTTTCATGCGTTATGGTCACTTCGCCGAGCGTTCAAATCTTTTGACGAGGAAATGTTTCGAATTTTATATCCCATATATGTTAGACCACATTTAGAGTACTGTATCCAAGCAGCTAGCCCGTGTCTAGTAAAGGATACTAACTCCCTTGAGCGTGTCCAGCGTGTGGGAACAAAATTAGTGAAGGGTCTTTCTAGACTTCCTTACGATGAGCGCTTAAAACGACTAAATCTTTTCCCCTTGTCGTATCGTAGGACACGAGGTGACCTTATACTGGCATTTCGTATCTTTAATTATGATTTAGGTGTTAATATGTCTTATCTTTTTGCTCCCTCCAGCACTAATAATCTCCGAGGTCATAGCAAGAAGGTTCATAAACCACGATCTAATAAACTTAAAGTGGGATCCCGTTTTTCTCATCGAGTAGTCAATCATTGGAACGCCTTACCCGAACAAGTGGTATCAGCCCCATCAGTGAATACTTTCAAGGAAAAGCTGGATCTTCACTGGAAAGCAATGTGTCAGGATTAACACAGGTTCATCAACCTACTATCCTTATTACTGAAGACTGAAGACTGACTGAAGACTGAATATTTCATCATAATATATGTCAGTCACGCAGTGTATAGGCGAACATGTACTTTAAAATGCTGGATAACGCACAGTTGTTAACATTGCCAATTGCATAAATAACAGCCTATCACTTTCACACTAAACATCCTTGACACAAGTAAAATTCAATTAGAAATTCAACCTATTGTAGTTAGTTTTTTGAGATGTGAACATGTTTCGCTCGATAGGTATTTTGTTTCGGATCAGGTGTCGTTTTGGTATTTATGACGTGTATCTGCATCTAATGATTCTCGATTCTTTAAAACATCATTTAATCTTATCTGTATGTCAGTCGCAAGATAACAGCCGAAAATAAAGCCGAGGTTATGAGGAAACTAAGCTATGAGATAAGTGGGAATTGAATTTCAAACATACACAACAACTAACCAAGTCCCAATGAAATATGAAGAGAATTATATAATGAATGGAAGTAGACAGTATATTCCTGAACACACTTTGATACATACTGACAAAATGAAAATATATATTTATTAGAAATTCCCAGGTAGTTTCAGTTCTGAATATAGAAGAGCTATTGCAAACCCACATGAATATCATCATGCATCTACATATGCGAATGTACATGTTGTGTAGTAATAAAGAGCATGCCTTGTAGCGGTCTTTCACAAACTTGTTCATAACTTAGCGAGACAAAAACATAATGGACATTTTGTCCCTGTGTACGGTACCCATAGAAAGAGTTGTAGAAATGTATAATCAATTGTACTTTGATTTCAATGAGGTGTATATCCAGGGAAGGATTTAGTTTACAAGTTAATTTCTGTCCTGAAAAGTAACTGACGACGTTCGTCAAACATGCAAACCTATTCAGAATACATAGCTTCTCGCAGGTGATTTCAGACCTGCAGTTTATGAGTAGTCCGGCAATTCAAGCCTAACAAATATCCTTCCTAATAATCGTTTCAAGTTCGCCCATTTTCAAAATAAGTTATGCTGTTTTTGGAATCTTAACGTACCTCCGGAAACTAAGAAGCTATTTTAAATTTTCCTTGTTTATCTGTTTGTAAAAGCGTGTCCTCTGAAGGTCGAGTACGGGTTACTTTTGAATTTTCCCTCTGCCTTATGCGATGCAAATGGCACTTAAGAAGTACTTGAGTTCACTAATTTTTCTGTTAGCTATCTATTTCGAAGAATGTTTATCACTTGGAGATAACAGCATTTTAATAAACAATGTTTGCATTGAGTACCGTAAAAATGTGTCGATATACGTTAAGAATATAATATACAATATGTCAACCAAAACAGCACCCGTTTCTTTTTGTGGTTGGTGTAGTGAAACTGTGTATAAACTAAAGAAGGTCATAGAAGAGCGAGAGGCTTATGGTGCGAATGGCGAGGCATGTTCTGATCTCTTGGCGAATACAGAAAGGGTGAGTAATTTCGAGGTTTGCACTTCGAATCAGGGTAAACTTATTAATTTTCGGTTGTTCATTTGTATTTTAGAAACAAAAGATAGGTCTTTGAAATGAACTTAAATATTCTCAATCTTTGAAGCGAGTGATAATATTTTAAAATGCTGCTCTCAGAAATCCCAGTAAAACCATCAGTCTTCAGTAATAAGGATAGGAGGTCTGTCGACCTATATTAATCCTTGCAGTTTGTAATACTGTGAAGGTCCAATCTCGTTTTGAATATATTAACAGACGGTGCTGATATTACGTGTTCCGGTAGAGGATTCCAGTAATTCACTACTCGGTGCGAGAAGCGAAACTCCAGACGAAAACGGTTTGATCTCGGTTTTTGAACTTTCTTCGAATGTCCTCTCAAATGATCGGTTCTAGACGGAAGCAAAAGATAAGACATGTTAATACCGAGGTCATCGTTCAGTATACGATAAGCCAATATTAGATCACCCCGTACTCTACGGTAAGATGACGGAAATAAGTTAAGGTGTCTCAGTCTGTCTTCATCAATGTGAAAAGCTTATATCACGGTCCCGTCTGAACCAATAAAATTGAGGATAACAAGTCTTGAATTTGGACGCAAAATACATTCACCCATGTATTAAAATGGTATTTTGCGATTATAGGTTATGTCATTTCGTGACGAAAATTCTTACTGTAGTTCATAGTCGTAAATGCCATCTCTTGACCGTGGCAAAGTGGATCGTCTGTGGGTCCGGCTTTCTAGTGATGAAGACTATGTATAGGAACCTCTGAGTTTTCATAGACATGCGTCTTCCGACGGAACAGTCATTAATGACTGTTCCCCAACAGTTCCTTTCAGCCCGACTGATAAATAACTGAAACGAATTTTGTATGTCTTTCAGGCTTCACACGAAAACACATACCGTCAAGGTGTATGTATAACGAGCTTATTAACTACTGCATGTGCATATTCAACAACACGAGTGTACTTGCAGTACATTATTACTTATTAAAAACGTCTAAAAAAGATCTTCGGCATTGTTATTGGCTAACGGTATACAATGCAATCTATTTATCAACACACAAGGCATGACAGTCCACAATATAAAGAGGGAGGATTTCAATCTGTAGTCGGATCGGTATCTTTTTGCGTGTAATAAATCAACGTTCAACAATTACCTACTACCTTAAAGGTTGAATGTAATTGAAGTAGGGCGATAGCAAACTCAGTAACATTTTTCTCAAACATAGCTTTAAACCACTAAGTTAACGACGGTTACGCGATGATTATACAGATATTAAAGCATTTATGTGAATAACTTTATTCCTTTTACTTCAAAGGCACAAATGTCAGGAATTCATGTTGCATGTGCGTATGATTTTGTTTGCAGATTTCTTACCATTATGGTATCACTATTCGGTTTCAGGGTACAATAGATTCTATCGACTTCATTTTCGATAAATGGAATCGTTCCTTCTGCTCCCATTGTCTTGAAGAAGTTTATTCCGATCAAAGCATTAGTATATCAGCGGATTCTTTCAATAACATAGAACCGCCTAGACGCCTTCTACATACGGATTCTCTATACAACTTGCAAGTCTACAGTAAAAACGTGCGTACATTTTTCGAAAAGCTTGATGATGTTTTAAGTTGTTTCATGCAGTTCATCAATAATTCCAACATATCTATTCTCAATGTATTAAATTTCCCCTCGTCTAGCACCTTAAATATCAGTTCGACGGTTTGTCAAAATTGTTCAGCGGCGTATTATAGTCTCCTAGATTACTACACTAATAATCTCCTAAGATATAACTCTCTAGAAGGAGGGAATCAAAATTTCCTTGTAAAACAACGCTCTGGTCATCGTTTCGCCGTATGTTTGGACGTACAAAATGCCATAAATCGCACACAATGGGCTTGGCACAATTTATTTCGGTGCAGAACGGAGGAAGTTAGTCATATTGGCTTCTTCTTACCATTGATAGTTTGTGTCACATTCCTCGTAGTTTTCCATTGTCTTGCCCAGTCAGTATGTCGTTATCCCGCCCATCTGCTGGTATACAGGCCAAAACGTGTTGAACCTACTGTTAGATGTCAACGAATTCTTAGCACAGCCTCGATTTCGCGTGGGCAAATGCCATTAGTCCGGTCTTATGGGAGTATTGGATCTGTGGAAGATAACACAATAGATTCTAACCTAATTGCAAAGACATACTCACAGTCTGATTCACTATTTGACAATCGCGCAGTGGTAATCCGAACATAATCCAGAGACTAACAACATATTGCTTATTAGATAAAACAAGCTAAGTGTCTTTCACAATGATTTCATATTTGTCTATATTTTTGCACAATCAAGAAAATGTTCAACCGCATAGTCCACTTACTTTTATTGTTTGTCATCCTAATTATTTTATTGAATGATAACTGAAGATTTGTTTCTACGTGATTTATCACCTCGTCTCAATAAAATGGTGTATGAGAAAAACGACTTTATCTCGTATTAAATGGGGGATTCAATATGTTCTATGTACCAAATCACATCCATAGTGAGATCACACACAGGAAGCAGTAAACGAGCGGATTTTCACCTACTCCTGTACATTATGTTGCTAGCTTAGTTTTCATCAGATAGAAAATTAGTTAGGGCTATATAAGAAGACTAAACATTTCCTGATTTCACAATGATAAATGTATTTCCACTCTGTAAGCACTTTGAAAATGTCAAAAATAGGCATCGTACTCCTTTAAACAAATTTATTATGTCCTAACGGTAAAAGAGCCTTCTTAAATGTCGGTCCTAGCTCCCAATCATAGTAAAGTTTTACACTTTCAACTGTTGTGTAACTTCGCCGTCAGGACACATTGTAAAATAACCTAAAATCCGAATTAATTGCATTCAAATATCCTTTTAACAAACCTTAATGATGAATGTTTATGTTCTCTCTGTACGACAAAACCTCATTGTTTAAGCAATTGTTGTAATCCTAATCTTTTAGGGATTAGTCAGATCGAGGTTCTGACCTGTAGTTGACTACTATAGACGAGAAATGATGAAATAAACCTACTTGGTTTAATTTGTATATATTCATCGGATTAACTGCGTCAATAAATAACAGAATAACATAAAATGCGAGTTTTTGGATGCATGTATTTCACTCAGCCATAAATCAGAGACACAAGGGAAAACCTGTCTACTCAAAATAATACTTATTACAAGCGTTAATGTAGGTCGTAATAATGAATAATCCGAGAAAGAAGATGGATGTCGGGTTAGATAATGATTATATAGATACCTACACTTAGGACACATAAGCATATAGCTGACAAGGATATGAACAAAAGAGGTGCATGTGTCGAAGGTCGTAGCTGCTTACAAAGAGAACAGGGCTATTGGGAACGTAAAAGTGACTCACTAGCCACAAGCTGATTGAACTATGAAAGTTTGTCCAAAATTTAGTGTTGTAACGTGTGTGTGACTGCAGGTTATGCTAAACAGCGTTTATATCGATCGATTACAGTAGACACGTAAACACGTAGTGGACGACCTAGTGCCCTGATTGGCCCTGCCTCGCTGTCTGTCCTAGCCAGTTGAGTCAAGAACGCAAGTCACAACCTCTGAGTTATGAATCATTATATTTCAAACATACTTGGTTTATATACCAGTCAAGCATATCACATCGTACCATAAAATAGAAACAACATTTACACAATATTTAACAAGTGAAATAAACATCGACCAATAGGAAATGTACATTTAAGGTCCAAGGCCACCGTAGACTTAACACGATAATTATTGGTATATTTTTCCGACTACGGTAGAACAACCATAAGTTCTTATGACAAGAAGATTCACTAATCTCTAGTTTTGTCTCTTCACTTAAATTGTCTTACAACACCAAGTACAACGTGCTGTGAAAAATCTACAGAAACAGGTCATTATGATATCATACTTTTTGGCTGATTCCTTGTAAAAGACAATGCTTCATTGGTGAAGATATTATTGTTATAAAGAAATGTTCCTACATCTGTCTAAAATTTGTGGTGGGAAATCAGACCTTGCTTTAACAGTTGGAAAGACTACACAAGCCCCTATCGTCCAAAATCAGTATTCTAATTTGGTCATATTATTTGGCTTGCTGGTTTCATTTTACGTTGAACAATTTTCCATCACCATGTAGTTTATAATTGTCCGCACAATTAGTGTGTTAATTGCTGTTGAACTCAGACAGACCTTGCGACTACACGTTACTTGTACAGGTGATCCTGTCAAGATGACTAGCACTGAGGTCTCATTAACGATATTCTTAGCCTTCCAAGATATCAAGTTGGATACAAATGATTGTATCTAGCTCCGCCAACACACTACATCTATTTGACTATTGATTCGTTTAGCTGAGGCCAATGCGCAATCGCAAACTAAATTGGGGTTAACGTTATTGTACAAAACTTCGGCTAGATAAAACTGGCTGGGAATTTTCCAACTAATTAATCACCAAGTAGTTTTGAGTTATCCGCTATTTCAGTAAGAGTGCAGCCTGTTTGTCGAGATCCTTAAATCCATATAAATACTAAAGACACTTATTTACACCGTGCAGTTACTTTATTCTAATCTTAGGGCCTGAAAAAACAAATGCAGAAGGATACTGACCTTTTTAATAATAACTAAACAAAGATAAGAGTTAAAACATAAAATAGGTGATAAATGAAACCAAATAAAATCTAGATATAGCTAAAATGAAGGCAGTTGCATAGCTAAAACAATCTGACATCTTCATTTAATGTGTTTAGTTCATTCATCCCGATAGTTCACCGTTTCTTACAAGATCGTTAAATAACTACTCGAAAGTTTACTACGTTTGGTTTACTATGTGCATCTTAAGCAAAAGCTAATTACAATATAAAATGGATTTGCTTTTAACCAACACAAATATAGAAAGTAACATTTTTTATATTATACCAAAAGTGAAAACCGAAACAGTGAAGTTAATTTCCCAATAATTTGTCAAAGTAGAACCAGTCAAACCTGTTGTATAAATTTAATCATTTTTTCTTGAAGCGTTACATTCTGATAAGCAAACCAGAGCTAGTTTGAATCCTGTACAAGAGTGAATACCAATAGGAGCAAAAACAGATTGCTGGTATGACAAAAAGTATACGTTTGTAAAAGCAAACTACACAACAATATTCGTGAAATCGACATCCGAGTATTTTGAAAATAATAGTAATAATACAAAGTTTCCCCGTAATAACATGTTCAAAACTTTTGTGAATTACACAACGTTATTACTGAATGAAAGTAGACTTCCTCCGTCTAGATAAATACATCATAGTATATCCAACTGAATGCAGAAAGTTTATCTACAAAAACAACTGGATGCTGACTTAGTGGTTTGAAGATTAGGCGTTTGTTGCCAGGTTTGAACGTCCTAAATTTAGTCTTAGATGCGTTTGAGGGTACCCACCGTTGAAAAATCCCATATGGAGACAAAACAGCTATTTGGTGCTCCCCGTTTTTCAATGACTGGTTGGCTAAGGTTATTTCGTAGTATAATGCCTATCCTACTAAGTACGAGACATGTGGCTGGATAGATAAGATACGAGCACTTAAACGACTAAGCCATAATAGGCAGGGAAGTAATCTAATGTTTCAAACTATCTTACATGAAACCACCAGTTTCCCTTGTTTGACTCATAGAGATAATGGACAACGCGTTCCATCCAATATATGGGGACTCTGATTCAAATATGAAAATAGAAACACTGATCATGAGAGTTAATCCATTTCTTCAAATATGTACACTCTTACAGAGTTGCAATCTAAGAACTGAGTGTAAGCGCGACAACTTGGAGTTCCTGACCAACTACTTATTTACTAGTAATATTTGTTGACGTTTAAAATGATTACTTTTTAAATGCTTTAATATCACACATTAGTACCAGCATATTCTGATAAAAGAGCTAGGTCAGAGACAATGTTACATCTGGTATTGTCATTTCTATAATGAGTTGAACTGTCTTATTTATCGATTTTGTGGGTATGAATACTTATCAGGAAGCAAAACTTCTATAACGTTTGATTAAACATACCGATTTATGTGCAAGTAAATAGGAAGACGACGGACTTACGACTTCAAAGTTCCAGCTCCTAAATGAGCGAGTAAGTGATACATATGACCTAGATAAGCACCTTTACCCAGATTTCGATGAAAAATCTCCTGAAGAAAAGTGTATGAAATAAACATTAGATATATAGTGCGTAATAATTCAATAAATGGAAGCATTGATGAAAATAATGGGAAGATTAGTTTGCGCCACGAGTATGCTTTTTGAACACAATTAGTACTTGATATCCAATCTAAATGAATTGTGTCAACAGATGTAGTGTTTAGCGATGAGAAATACTCATCTTTCAAGATAGAAAACATTACTTTCAAAAACTGCCTTGCAAAGAGATATATGGTATAGACTACCAGCTAGACAAAAACCGTTTGAGGAATTAACTACGACAAACTGCTAACAATTTAATATTAGTAGAGATGTTCCATCGACTATTTTACCGAATGTAGCTAAATTTTTGTTATTCTGTGCGTTTATAGTCAGAAGTATAGGTTTAATAAGTGCTTTCAAAGTGAGTGTCGTTAGCGTAGTTAATTCGAAATACGAACCACTTCTAGGAGAGTAATTTTTCCGATTTCACTAATGCGCGGTTGCGTGTAATTCAATAGAAAAATTTGAGGTGACTTGGCAAAATAAATAAGTGACTTTCAAATATCGTCGGAAGAAACTAGTAAATGAACTTCCAGACTGTCAAGTGAAGCAACAGATTTCACAAGTTGAAATTATTAGTTATGGATATTATGTTGCTGAAACGTATGTAATATTTCATCGTCGTTATTTTTTGGATGTCACGCACCTAGTTATAGCACCTGTCAATGAATAACCTTGAATCTACACGCAATAAACTGTTATTTTTTCAGGTTTATTATGATAATGTGATCTCTTTTATTAAGTACATCCATGGTTGAAATTTGAGATTTTTTAATTGGAAGAAAGTTATATGCTCACTTTAAGATGAACGATAGTTGTGGGAAGAAAACTTAAGACGTTAGTCTTCCACTTTTATCCCTAAGAAAAACCAGAACCATAAACAAGGAAACTATCTATATACTGGTTTAAGCATAAATGGTATGACAAACAAGTATATTAAATGAAGGTGACCCCTCATGTTAATCAAATGGGGAAATTTGAAAATGAGAGAGTAATGTGTGGTTTTTGTGTACATACGAGACTTTTCATTAACAAACACCGAAAATCAAACAATTTACCGAGTCCTATCCAACTGAAAAGACACTCAAGTATAAGTTTTAATAACGAAGAATATTCACTGAAGATGTCTGATCCTAACATATTTATCTAATTACCGACTTACGTCATTAACATTTAGATTGAACCTAGTAGGTAGGTTCAGAATATCCTTTTGGTGTCCGAGCGGTTATTATGAATCAATGGTTGGAGACGTTAGGTGATATGGTTTAGAATCAGTTGTAGTAGCGCAGATGCATTCACTCTTCGTATTCTCTTAGATCCTGAGTCTTGAAAGTTTATATTTTTTTAAATGTTTATGTCTAGTCGTTTCTACTACTACAACTGATGTTGGAACTATTTCTCCTACTCTTGGATTTCTCTTAATAATCTCGCTGAGCTAATAAGGTGTAGGCAACTTGAACTGACCACGTCTGTTCCTGGTCCTACATTTTTTACGACTGAATTGAACTGTCTAACCAGAAAAGTATTCAAATGCCTATTACGATTTGAGTACATATAGCAACAGGATAAAAAATAAATCGGTAAAAATGTGGTTCACTGACCTTGTACGACTGTGAATTTTGCCTCGAGCTATAAATTTATTATAAAAGTTAATAAAACTACTCGACCACAAACCAAATTAGGTAGAGTAGAACGGGATTTTAAATATCATCATGTAGTAGAAAGTTAAATGTTTTGATTACTACTTAGCCATTATGCAACAATAAGTTTAATCCTTCAATACGCTAGTAAAACAAATGTGTTAAAGGTACATAAAGTGAAAAGTTGTACGTATTCTACCATCAGCTTTTTGTGATATGGAAAAAGCAATCAAGTGACACTGACGTAAGGGACTTTGAGTAAAAGAAAGTCCGAGTATGAACTTTTATCTTTTGGATTAGCTAATATCTATATTTTATATATTAAATCATTAACAATCATTACAAGGTGCTAGTTGAATGAAGAAGTGTACATAAGTAAGCTCATAATATTGCATTTTACTAGCCTTTTTAGTTCAATTTCGAGTTAGAAACTAAATATATCGTGTCTTAAGGATCGTCTCAGACATTTTATTTTATTCATCTACTAAATCTCCCTGTATGTAAAACAGGTTATAATTCCAATTTTAACTTTGTCTCACAATTATAAACTGTATATTGTTTTGACCAATACAGCGACAAATATGCTATGCATATGTACCTTGACCAGAAAGTTGCTAAATTACAGGTGTTGCTTTACTTTTCACCTTTGAACATCTACAATATTTTTATGAAAAGCTGTCTATTTTTCTATGGTCATAAATGTGTCATATTTAGAAATAGTGAACTCATCATCTACTAGACACATTTTTATAATACATTAACACGATCAATTTCAATAGTCTAATAATTAGTATTAACAAAACTTTTAAAGATAAAAACTGGTATTTTTTTCAGATAACATGTAGGAAGACTAAGAAACACATGCCAAGAGCACGCGGCTTTACAATTTATATGAATTCATATTGTATAAATTCAATAGTTTTTACAAGTATTTAGAACATTGGTGCAGTCAACAGTAACGATATATCGTGTGCAGTACAATGGATATTAAGACTTAAAACATTCAGACCTTATTTTGTACATAAGTGCATCCCATCTTTTGCAACAAGGATTTCTAGGTTTTGCCTGTTTTAGTGACCTATATTATCCCAGATCTCCAAAAACAACAAAAGTGGCCATTAAGTGTTGATCGGACTCCAGATGTCTATGAAGTACTTTCACTTATTGTTTTCTCACCCTTAGAAATAGATTTTTTCCGCTAGCCCCTGGTAAGTAATCCTTTCCTATTTGCTTAACCCTCTTGAGCCTCATGGTAAGTATTTTTTATTTTAATAATAGGTTTTAAGCAGTACTTTAACATAAGAGGAAGGAACGCTATCCAAATACTAAAATGAGAGTAGATGAAACCGTGCTCAAATCGCCTGTTAAAAATTGAATGCTTAAAATATCAAGTGTAACAAGTCGAACAAGCGTATAATAATAATCGCTTACAGCCAAAACAAGCATTTATTTAATCCAAATAATATTTCGCAAAAACAATTTCGCTTCATTACCTTTTAATTATGCTTAACTTCTTTCAATTAGATAAACAATATACACATAAATATTGCTTAAAATACTAAACTTTCATTTCAGTGAATACATAAAAACACAATTAACTTTAGGAATTAGCTATCCGTTTTACTAACTAAAAGAGCATTTATATGCAAAATGAACTCACAGATAGCAATAATTCTTTGAATCGCGTCTTTTTAATTATTGTTAATAAACCCCGTTGACCAGCTTTGTAGGCACGAACGAATGCACCAAGATATGGAGTGGAAATGTACCAACTGTTCTCGGATTTGATGGTTAAAGCTCCATTTTGTATTAGAATGCTTATCTCATTATCCGAAAAATTCTTCGATGCAACACGTTTACATAAGCTTAAATAATGATACTTTTGACTAGTGAATTCCGCAAATCGTTCTGAAAACTTAGGAATAATATAATTATAACTAAACCTAAAATCTTTGACTCATCCATAGAGAAATCTCTGAAAGAATTTACAAAATCATCAGATTTCATTATACCAACGGAATCATCGATTTGGTCGTCAATGTTTAATAAACGTATTCTCTGAGATGTCTGCATATCTGACTAAAACAGTGAGCATTAGAAATGATTAAAACACGACAAACCAGTTGAGATTCTACTTTGTTCCGATTATTTACAAGAGTGTATAACTGTGACTTCAAAACGATTGGGCGGCCAAGATTTTTTGAGTTCATAGAAGGATATAGACTAAACAGGTATTCAAGAGCATCACATACTGTTTCTAAAATAAGAATATTTACTAATAAAACAAGTTTACTGACTCATTTCAGGTATACTGGATACCTTCATAACTTTTTGGGGGCTGGTAACACCATCATCAGTTAGCTTACGCTTCATGAGGAACTACAAGAACAGTTAATACAACAAACATTTTCAGAAACCATTTGATATTAGATGCCAAAACAAACAGCTTGAACTTGAGAGTTTTTGTTCGAAATCCGTGATAGTTTTAAACCAATTATGCTCAGCCAAACATAATATAGTCAAAATACTAAGCCATGACTTCAGTTTGTGCACAGTTCCAAAGCAAAATCATTTAAACAAGTGTAGCAACGTTGAGCAAATCGAGAATCTCACTTATGTCAGGAGTCCCGTCAGTCCTGGTTGATGTTTGACCAAAACTAAGTGCAGACCTAAGTTTATTTGCCCTTGCCAACTTGCATGTTCTGCGGACTAGGCGCTATGTCCGTCTATCAACTAAAGAACCAGTGTATAACATAGTTCGTTCTGTTCTACTGCATGGCTGTGAAACACATCAATTACGAATAGAGGATAATAATAGGTTAGGTTATTTGATCATAGATACCTTCGAAGTGTTACTCGTGTATGTTAGGACCATTAAGTGAACAACATTGGAGTCCGGTAGGCTACTGGGAAAAGATGGTAGACAGACTGATGAGATAGCGAATATTCATCAACTGAGGTGCATGGGACAAGCACTACATAGTACAAACTACCGATTACCTAGATGTGCGATATTGCCTAGTGCAGGAGTTAGCTGGAAGAAAATCGATAGGAACCAAACCAAGAGATGGTATCAGTCCATGAAGCCACCGATCCTTGAGCTGATAAATAGGAATTTGTGTAGACCGTCTGGTTGTGATCCACGTAACAAGAGCAATCACTGCAGTGATCTTCAGTGCTGTTAGAGCTATGAGGGCATTTAACACTTCCCGGTATCCCATACCGTGGAAAAATTTTTCTGGAGGTACTTGAAAAGGAAATTGGGTTAGGTATGGTCTTAGTGATCTGAGAGCGTGACCGCAGTGCCCAAGGGACACCTCCTTGGGGTCGGTCACACACGACCTCTTTGTGAGTAATTTTCGTGTTAGCTCCGTTCTTATTGGAACCTTACCGCCGGAGACAGATATCCGTGGGATAAGGCGAGGTGTGCATTTTTAGGGCCGACCTTTTCCAACCCTACCTCTCCTTGAGGGAAGGCATCACCGCTGTCATACTGATTGTCTGAAGGAAACACCTTGCTGCCGTCACACCTCTGTACAGACAGCAGTACGACTTCGCCCTCGGACCTTGGGTTTGCGGCTTTTAGTCTCACCGCTCTTCAACCGACCTGTCTGACATGGTAGGACCGACTGTTGCAGCCAGTATAGCTCGACTAGTTCGTCACGATAGGCGAGTTCAACTACGACGTCAAGGTAGCAGCAACGGTCGGGAATCACTGCAATACCGAACCATTTTAAACTAAAGGCCATGTTGTTTTTCAATCGATATGATTCAAACAGCTCCAAATACTGCTTACGGTGATTTCGGCTACCAGTAAATGAATGATTTGTGTTCATATTCGTCAGTAAGGTGTCAACTGGTCGAGTGAGAGCTTATGACGAACTGTCATCAGAATTGATTACCTCAAGTGGTGTTCGTCAAGGCTGTCCACTCTCTTCATTCTTGTTCAACTTTGTCGTTGATGTGCTTTTAGAGATAACACTTTCCTCATCTAAATTTCCAGGGGTTGGACTTCTACCGGGAGATTCACTTTTTGACCTAGAATATACCGATGACATAGTTCTGTTTGGTGAGGACAATGAAAAAATACAGTCTTCTGACCAGCACATAAGCAACAATGCAAGCATGTTCGGGATGCGATTTCCCCTCCCCTCGAAAAGCAAAATGTTGCTTCAGGATTGGGTTGCATTGACACCCGAACTAATTATAGGGAGTGAAGTAGTTGAGCGTGTCGACTGCTTCACTTATCTTGGAAGTCTGATCAGCCCTTGTGGTCTGGTGTGTGACGAAATCTCAGCACGGATACAGAAGGCGCGACTAGCTTTTACCAACTTGCGTCATTTATGGCGTAGGCGAGATATCCGTCTATCAACCAAAGGACGGGTTTACTGCGCAGCAGTCCGTTCCGTCCTACTTTATGGCAGTGAAACATGGCCGGTAAGAGTAGAGGATATCCGTAGGTTACGAGTATTTGATCATAGGTGTCTTCGAAACATTGCTCGTATATCCTGGGACCATCGAGTAAGTAATGCAGTTGTTAGGAAATGGGTACTATTTAAGAATGGCAAATCAATCGATGTAGTGGGACTTCAGTTGAGATGGCTGGGACATGTGTTACGTATGCCCAACCACCGACTGCCTCGATGTGCGATGTTCAGTGGTATAGGAGTAGGTTGGAAGAAAGCTGGGGGTGGCCAGACCAAAACATGGCACAAGTCCATGAAGTCACTGACAAGTAGACTGGGTCGTGTTGGTGGGTGTAGACTACTTGGTTGGGGACCGCGAGATGATAGGAACCGATAGTTAGAGACCCTGAATGACATGGCTCAAAATCGTTTGCAATGGCGCAGGTGCATCCACTCTTTGTGTTCTCCCAAATTCTAATCTTCTGAATTATTCATGTCTCTTTTTTTCTCTTTCCAAATTTATTTCACTGGATTATACTCCTTGAATAACATCTTCAAACCCTAATTTTTCTGATTACAGCTTATAATTTTACTACATCTAGCTCTACGGGATTTGAGTCGATCACTGCGTCTCTGTGCTAATGTGGTGTGGCAACTTGAACTGATGTACGTACGTACGAAGTTCTGCGTTGTTACTGACTGACTGTGTCTAACTGCAGGCCTGTCAGTCTGACCAAATAGTGGTGATTCGGGTTAAATTACTAAGTCACATAGAATCATACGATCTGTTAACTCCCGAACAACACAGTTTTCGATATAAGCATTCATTTTTAGGCAAATTACTTATTGCGAGAGAGGATTGGACAGCAGCCCAAGATAACAGTGTGCTGTTGATATATTCATAGACTTAAGCAAAGCATTTGGTAAGGTCTCTCACTTAGGTCTTATGCAGAAGCTCTCGAGATTCGGAATAGCTGGTAATATACAGGAATGGATGAGAAACTTCCTCTGCGGTCGAAGACAGAAAGTGAGAGTAAATAGGACACTATCTGGATGGAAGCCGATCAAAAGTAGTGTACGCCAAGGCACCATCTAAGGTCTTCTACTTCTCCTTCTCCACGTCAATAAATTACCGCGATCGCTTAGTTCATCGTCATTATTGTCTGCGAACGATGTCAAAATCTGGAGAACAGTAAGAAGTGAGACTGATTACTCGACCTCCAAGCTGTCTTAAACCAACTAGTTAGATGTTCCTAAATCTGGAGGTTAGGAATTAATTTCAGTAAGAGTGTGCTCATGCACATTGGGCATGGTAATAGTTACCAGTATGCTACCAACGGTACATTGCTTCCATAAGTACAGGAACACAAAAGTCGCGACTTCAAAACAACTACTCATCGCAAAACAGCAGCTGCCAAAGGTTTTTGTGCGTTATGGTTACCTCGCCGAGTATCCAAATTTATTTTATTTATTTATTTGAACACAGATATTGGTACAAGAGAGCGCCAATATATATGCACCACACAAAACAATGAGAATTCGAAGAGAAAAAAAGGTAAGGAGTGTAAAAAAAAGAAAACAATAACGAAGGGATTGGAGTAGGGTAGTGTAGTAATAATGAAGGAACGGAAAGGTACAATCAGAAGAAGTCTTTCAGGTAAGGGAGACACAACCACTTTTTTATGAAGAAAGTAAAAGAAGGTTACAGCAGGATCGCCACTAGCTTCTATTCTAAGCCATATCTGATAACGTCTCTAGCCACTGTGTTGCACCATCTCTCGGACCCCAACCAGGGAGTCGTGAAGGACCAACACAAGCCAGTCCTTTGCAGCTTTCTTTCGTCCCGCGACACCATGTCATGCGCTGACCACCTCTCCGCTTCTTCCAACCAGTCTCAGAGTCGGCAAATAATGCACGACGTGGAATTCTCTGGGACGACATTCATAGAACATGTCCAAGCCACCGAAATTGGTGTTTCAAGATGGTGACATCGATTGCATTATCATCTCTGTGCCCGAACACACGATGCCGAACCTCTGCATTACTAACATGGTGTTGCCACTGGATGTCAGCAATCCTTCGGAGACAACGATGGTCGAACACAGAGAGTCGTCTAACGTCCTCAACTCGGAGAGGCCAGGTTTCACAAGCACAGGGCAAAACTGATCTCACCGACGCTTTGTAGATCCGACCTTTTACAACCAGACTAACACCACGAAGGTGCCAAAGGTGGCCCAAATTGGCATAAGCCGCTCTGGCTTCCACTATTCGTGCATTGATCTCATCACTCACACCCCCACCAGCACTTATGCAGCTACCCAGATACACGGACTTCTCGACTACTTCTATCTGCTCACCGTCCAGGGTGAGTATTAGAATCCTGCTAGTCTTGTAGAAGTACTTTGCACTTCGAAGGTGCAAAGCACATACCATACCTACGGACACTGATTGCCAACAAATTAAGTGCGGATTGCATGCCTTGGGTATTATTGTACAGTAAGACAATATCATCTGCATACTCGAAGTACAGAAGTCTTTCTCCAGGCAACAGATCCACACCGCCATTACTTACATCCATCAGCGCTGTTTACAGAATGTCATGGATGGCAAAGTTGAAGAGGAATGGTGAGATTGGGCAACCCTGTCTAACCCCACTGTTTGAATGAAACAATGGAGTGAGGTGGTTGTATGCCCTCACTCTGTTTAAAGTGTTTGTATATAGGGCTTTTAGGATGTTAATAAACTTCTCAGGCACACCCTTCTTCAATAGACAATCCCAAAGAACAGTCCTATCCAACGAATCGAAGGTAGCCCTGATGTCAAGAAACACTACGATTGTTGGCCTTTGATAAGTATGGCGGTGTTCTAACATTTGGCGGAGGGTGAAGATATGATCAATACATCCTCGACAAGAACAAAACCCAGCCTGCTCCTCGCGAGTCAATCTTTCTCGGGTTTTGAACAACCTACGAAGTATGACGGAAGCCAATAGCTTGGACGCAATCGGAAGTAGACTTATCCACCGATAGTTGTTACAGGAACGAAGTGAACCCTTTTTAAAGATAGGGACAACTATCGACTCATTCCATGACGTTGGTACACTCTCTAGTTCCCAAACCTTTGTAAACAACGTCGTCAATTCCTTAGTCAGAAAGTCACCACCATCTTTAAAAAGAGCCGGAGGTAAGTCATCTGGGCCAGGCGGTTTGTAACGCTTCAAGAGTTGGAGTTCCTTGCGGACTTCCGCCTCATTTGGTGGATCAGTCGTCACCGGCCATGGAGTGCAGGACAGTCTGACCGATGTTGCCGGAGCAGCAGGCCAGTTGAACAGCCCTTCGAAAAATTCTGCCCATCGTCCAAGACGTCAATGGATGTTAGTGATTGGCATCCCATCATTCTCGCAGATAGTTTCGCTCACACCAGACTTCTTGCTGCCAGTGGCTCGGACGAGTTGGAAGAGCTTACGGTAGTTACCATATGCAGCCGCTGCTTCCAGCTCATTAGCATGCTCCGACCACCAGGCTTCTCGGTCCTTACGCAAGCTTTTCCCAATTTCCTTACATAACATCCTTCGTTTGTGGTCAAACTCACGGTCACCCGGGGTAGACCGACGGGCTTCAATGAGTTGTAAGGAACCTGAAGAAACCCAGTGCTTATAAGCGGGATGTTTCGCAAACCCACAACTGACTGTACCCGTCATTTTCATGACGTCATGCAATCGCAACCAATGCTCATCTATACTTTTCGGTGGAATGGTAGCTATCCTAGAAACTAGCTCGGTTCGATACTTACTAGCAACAGAAGTTGCAACCAGCTTGCTAACATCAATCCGGTGGTGGGGGTCACTTCGTTGTCCACTGAAAAGTAAGGTAAGATTGGCGCAGACCAAAGCATGGTCAGAG